GTGGGCTATGATCCAGAAAATCACTGTAAATTAGTTGTTTGGAACCTGGAATTTATTTTCCCATGGAAATAGTGGTTATATTCCCAGAGGGTCCACAAAAGCTTACTTAACTAAGAATGAAGTAGAAATGAACACTGTCACCTTTGTGCTAACCTCTGCCTATTATCCCGAAGTCTCTATGGATTTCTCTCCTTATTACAATGTTTAACCACCACTTTGGGAACAGCTTTTTTCATTACAAATTATAGAAAATGTTGACGGTCACTTGTAATTCTATCCAAATCCAATCTTTTAATTGTTCTTTGGGGGTGTTTCTTTTTACCACCCAATACTTAAAACAGGACTTCTGTTGGAGAGTTATTTTCCTTTTTCTAATATCAAGGAGTCAGTATAATGGCCAAAGAGTGCCTATAGCCTAGGCTATAGTGTCATGTTCTCTGCTATAGCTTGATAAGCACTGCCATCAGAGGCCTAGAAGATATATTCTTGACTTTGTGGAGTTTTAAAACAAACAACCTCCCTAACACTCTTCCCCAGCTTTCTTGGCTTTTGACATGTAATCATATGATAGTTTCTAGGTCTTATTCGTCCTGAGTTTGGTGGTATAATTTAAGAGACTACCTGAATAACGTTCATGCACATTTTGATTATAGTTGAATTGTTACTACTGAAATTTCATTCTCAAATAATCTAAAGCTATGATCTAAATGTCTGCCAAATATATAACTTATCTCAGGAATACTTTCTTTCATGTTATAGTAACCACAATAAAACAAAAATATCTTTGTTTTAGATGGAAACATTACCAAGAAATGTTTCCAAAACAGAAATGCTTTAAAAAAAATTGTGTATGGCCACAATAATAGTGTGGCATTGCAAATTTTTAGGCCACGTACACATCCCACTACTACCTCCTTACTTCTGGGGTATTGCCATGTTGCCCAGACTGGAGTGCAGTGGCTACTCACAGGCATAAGCCCACTAGTGCCCAGCACATGCAAACCTACTGGTGTCCCTGTTCCTAGGAGGTTACCATATTGATGCTGAACCTAGTAAGGACACCCAATTGGCTTTGATATAGCACACTACATCCTTGAACTTCTGGGCTCAAGCGACCCTCAACTTCCTCAGAAGCCACCACACCCAGCTCCTTGGAATTTTACTTGCCAGGAATTCTTGGTATTATTTTAAAGTCTGCCTGTGTTGGGAAAAAACACCTTTAACATTAGGGAAGATTCTTATCATCACAACTACCCTCCAAAAAAACCCACCAAATTTACCTAACCATGTCATCATTTTTTTTTTTTTTAAGCCCATGTGATTCTGTCAGCAAACATTTGCCAACAAAATCATGGCTTTATTGTGTAAAGACAAATTCTACTATATTAAACGTACATACATCTTTTGCTTTAAATCCTCACAATCTATGAATGAAACCTTTTAAGGATATAGGTGGTATTTTTCTTAATAACTTCACTGTAACAGCCATAATATGGTGGTCAATTTTTATAAAACTAAAATCATTAATATAGAAGGTAGATTGATTAGATTCTGATAGTAAAAATATTAAGGTAAGACAGCCCACACCTGTACTAGCTAATCTCAGCAACTGGGAAGGTTGGGGCAGGAGGATGGCAAGTTCCAGGCCAGACTCAGCAATTTAGCAAAACCTTGTCTCAAAAATAAAAATGGCTAGCGTGGTAGAGCACACCTGGGTTCAATATCCAGTTTTAAAACAAAAACTGGGGCTGGGACTGAGGCTCAGTGGTAGAGTGCTTGCCTAGCATGGGCGGAACCCGGGTTCGGTCCTCAGCACCACATAAAAATAAAGGCATTGTGTTGTGTCCATCTACACCTAAAAAAATAAATATTTAAAAAAAATAAAAACAAAAACTAAGGCAAGTGTAGTCCTATTTCAACTAAAGACCAAACAGCTACTTATGAAATCAAGGCATGACAGAATAAATTAGCTAGTGCTTTACACCAACTGATACTGCTCATTTTCAGGATCTGGAAGAAATTTTTTCTTAATAACGATGCATTTCTTTTTGACAACAGGTATTGAACCCAGGAGTGCTTTACCACTGAGCTACATACATCCCCAGTTCATTTACTATTTTTTTTTAAAGAGAGAGGGGGGGGAGGGAATTTTTAATATTTATTTTTAAGTTTTCGGCTAACACAACATCTTTGTTTGTATGTGGTGCTGAGGATCCAACCTGGGCCGCGCGCATGCCAGGCGAGCACGCTACTGCTTGAGCCACATCCCCAGCCCCATTTACTATTATTATTATTTAAATTTTAAGACAGGATCTTGCTAAATTGCCCATGCTGGCTTAGAACTTGCCCTGCCTCAGCCTCCGGAGTTGCTGGGACTATAGGTGTGGTGTATGCTACTGCACCTGGCTCACAGTGCATTTCACTGACAAATATTAACCTTTTTGCATTCTTCAAAACAATTGATAGATTTAGGCACTACACTTCAGGAAGGTGAAATAAGCTACTAGTTAACTAATGAATGAAAGAGGGCTCCAGTAGCAGGTGACTAAAATTGTTTTTGGCAAAGCACAGTGGTCAGGAACCTAGGATTTCTAGACCCATGGCATTTTAGTAGGCACCTTGGAAACTACAGGGCAGAACCTAGAATTTTATTGAGCCAAGAAATTTCACACTCTGACAATTTAGACAACTATCCTGTCTTAAAAAAATAAAAGGAAAAAAATAGCATAAAACTTTTTGGAGCTCCTGTGGGAATTAAATGAGAATACATACATAAAGGTATCTAGCAGGGTTGGAATTGTAACTCAGTTGAAGTACAGCGCTCACCTAGCACAGAGCTTGATCCTCAGCACCACATAAAAATAAATAAATAAAATTAAGGTATCGTGTCCATCTACAATTAAAACTACTTTTTAAAAAAGTATCTAGCAGGGCTGGGGATGTGGCTCAAGCGGAAGCACGCTCGCCTGGCATGCGTGCGGCCCAGGTTCGATCCTCAGCACCACATACAAACAAAGATGTTGTGTCTGCCAAGAACTAAAAAATAAATATTAAAAATTCTCTCTCTCTCTCTCTCTCTTTAAAAAAAAAAAAAAAAACTATCTAGCAAAGTTACCAATGTGAGCCAGCAGGGTGGTGACAGGCAGGTATTTGACTAATTCAAGCTACTAAGGAGGTTGAAGTGGGAGGATCACTTGAGCCCAGGTGTTGGCAACAGAGCAAGACCCCTTTTCAAAAGTTAGCCAAATTTGAGTAGTGAGAATTTTGCTGGAGGAAAAAAAAGTCCTCCTAAATTATGACAGCATTTTTTTTTTTTTTAGCACTTTTGCTTCTAAGAATTGAGGGTGCCTGAAATGAGTTAACAAGGGAAACAAGTGACCAAATTCACCAATATTGCAAATTCAGTGGGATTCTTCTTAGTTGAGCAGCAATCCCCCAAATTTTGACTAGTTGGCTAGGATGATGAATAAATAGTTTATACCCATGTACAAGTCAACCTTTATAAAGAGAAAGCACTGAAATCCTGTGATTATACAAGTACAGTATTAGCCTGATAGACATCATGCAAGCACATGTCTCTTGGGTGACAAAAGGGATTGCATAAAAAGATACAGCCAGCTTAAGGCAAACAAATACATCTGAATTTCTTGAAACACTGAAAATATCATCTATAAAGTTATATCATATATAAGGAAAAACAAGCTTTTAGCAAACATGGTTTTCAAGTTCACTAGAAGTCTAAGTAAAGGGAAATAGTTTCCTTGCAATGACCACTGTGTTTATCTCCAAATGTTAAAAACAAATAAGTAAAGCAAAGTTCACAACTGAGGCTTCAAAGATGTTAAGAACCAGTTAAGTTGGCAGTGGCTCTGGAGGCAGAGGCAGGAGGACCCAAAGTTCCAAACCAGTCTCAGCAATTTAGCAAGGCCCTATCTCAAAATAAAAAATAAAAAGGGCTGGGGATGTGGCTCAGTACCCTGGTTTCAATCCCCAGTACAATAAACAACTAAATAAATAAATAAACCAGTTAATTTTACTTACTTTTTTTTTTTTCCCCTATTAAAGAGGGAGGCAAAAACCACAAAAATAATTCGGAATATTCAGGTATTATATTCAAATTTAGATAATAAAGATGGGGTTCAGCAAGGCAGAGTGAATACCTGATATGTGCATTAACTGAACTCACCTTAAAGTTATATAACAATTTCTGAATTCGGAAGCTCAAAAAATAGACATTTTTATGCGGAGTCATAAGTTACTTACTACTGATCCAAGGCACTAATACTACAAATTCATTCCCATGAGGTTAGCCAACATGTGTTAGAAAAAATATCTTTTAGTACAAAATTCCATTCCTCATTCCCTGTAGAACATACATAAAGACAGTCTGGTCATTTTCTACCATTCTTCTCTCTCTTCACAAAAATGGAAAAAGTCTGTATAATTCATTTTTCTCCAATAAGAATTCTCTTGGAACTGATGCAAATAGGCAATGCCCTTCTATCACTTTTGCACTACCTCAATATTGTTTATTTTTCATCCTATTAACCTACCATGCTTTGTTCATTTAAAAAAAAAAAAAAAAAAAAAAAAAACAGCTTCATGACATTCGTTGTAATATATGAAAACTCATTCATACAGACCGGCAACACAGTTAAAGTTCTGAACTAACATTTCAACTTTAACAAAAATAACAGATTTCTCAATTCTGTGATACAGGATGCAGACAGCAACATATGTAATACAAAGACCTAAACTTTAAGGACTCTAGATAGATAAAAACGAAATGACCACCTATCAATCTTAATAATTTTCCTTAAGAAACCTAAAGCTGAGTTTAAAAATCTATTTCCAGGTTTACAGTATTCTTCCTTCATGGGCAGACCACAACAGAATTAGGATTACTTCCAGAAACATGGTCAGTTATACACTGGGGTTGGATTTAAACCTCCAGTGATGTCTGCTTTTATTTGCACTGTGAAAAATAAATAGCTGTATTATGCCTTTCTGGACAGTCAATAGATTTTATTTACATTGCTTTGCAAGGAGAGGACAAAAGACATCTCTTTACAATTGTCTTACAGCAATCTCAGTTTAGAATACGTAATACAGACATATGTGTATGTTTATATATGAAAACACAAACATTTATATATAGAGTAACAAAAATAAATAGACAAAATAACTATGAAGTCTCTTGAAGTACAGATTTATAAACTGTCCACCGCCACAGAACTTAAACCTGTAATGGACAAAAATCATTACTGACTTTAAAAAAAAAATACGACTTTCACTAACATGGAAAAAAATTAAGATAGAAAAGAGAAAACAATAATCACCGGAAAACCTGTGTCTTGTAAAGATTTCTTCCCATCAGATGCAGAAACATTTTCCCCCCTGGAGCAAATGCACACGTTTCTCATGAACCCTCAGTTTCTTCCCTGCTTTCTCCCTCAGGCGCTGGTGTCGACGGCCGGTGTGGACTTTTTTCCAGAGGTGAGAAGTAGAAATGTGTACTTTATCGGGGAGCGAGTGCACTTTTCCCCCTGGCCCCCCTTTGCTCTGCCTCCAAGATGGTAGGAAAGTTGTCGTTTCGGAGGGCAGAGGAGCCACTCTCTGGTGTTATGTCCTCGCAGTGCCTGTAGTGGTGCTGTAGGAGGCTGCTGCCTCTTCTTGTGCAGCCCCGGCAGCCCTGCCTTCTTGGCTGGAGAGTATATTCAGGGATTTCCCCTTAATAATCACCGACCCTGGGAGCACTTTTTACTTTCCAAAATAAAAATATGATCCTCACCCCTCTTGCTTGACAGGGAAAGGCTCTCACTGAAGCCCAGGGGGGAGCAATAGCAGCGGCAGCCGAGCCTCCTAGTCCATTGCCAGCGCCTCTCACTCTGATCTGTCAGCCCAGCCGAGGGAAAAGGGGGGAAGGAGGAAGGAAAAAAAAAAAAAAAAAAAAAAGCAGCTGAAAGGTAAGCAGAGGCGGCCCCAGGCCCGGCCCACATCCCCGGGCTCCCGTAGGGCGGCGGGCTGGGCCGCGCAGGCAGGGCGGGCGGCGAGCGCGCTTACGTGAGGCCGGGGATTTGCCGGCCCACGCCAGGCCCGGGGCGGAGAATGAAAGGGTGAGTGGGGCCGGCGCTGGGGTGGCGGGGGCCGGGGGCCTACGGGCCTCGGGGGCGCCCGCCGGCGGCGACCGAAGGCTGGCGGACGGGCGGGCGGGGGTCCGGCCGGGGCGGGAGACGGCCGGGTGGCGAGGCCTGTGCGGGCCGGGGTGGGGGTGTGCGGCGGGAGGGGGGGGGAGCCGGCTAGGCCTCTGGCCGGCGGGCCCCGCGGCGGCCGCGCCCTGCCCCCGCACCCCGGGCCTGCACGCGCCCCCTCGGGTCCCTCGGGGCCTCCAGGCGGGACGGCGGCGCTGCGGGGCGAAATTCGGCGCCGGCCCCGAGGCTCTCCCGCGGGGCGGCAGGCCCGGACTGACGGGACAGGGGCGTCAGGGGCGTCAAGGCCTAGGAGTGGAGAATGGGCGCCGGCCCCCCTTCCCCCTGGGTGTCTCACAGACGCCCCCCGGATTCCGGTAACAGTTGAATTTATTTATCCCCCTCCTTCGCGCTCCGGGCGGCAGGCCGGGGCGGGGCGGGCGGCCTGGCGGGCGTGGGGTGGGGTGGAGGGGCGGTGAGAAGTCAGGTGCAGCCGCGGCCCGGAAAGTTTCCTTTTAGGACCGAATTGGGGTCTGCCCTCTCTTCGGGGAGCCCTGGACCTACCGCCCGGGACCCCCGGGGGCGTGGGGAGAGCACTCGGCTATTTTGAAACTCTTTGCCAGTTCCTGTCCATTGAAGGTACTCCGCCCCTGCACCCCTGGCCCGCGCCCCACCCCACTCCCAGCGAGCCCCGTCGGGCTGCAAACTCCAGCCTGTTCCCCAAGAGCCCTTAGGCTGGGGGAAAGGCCTTCTCTTCCGGTTTGGAAAAGTTTTCAAGGGATTTTTCTTAGCGTTATTAGTTAGTGACCGTGTTTTTTAGGGGTGGGAAGGGAGGGAGATTCAGGTGGTGTTTCTTCTGGACAGTCTCTGCCCATCTCCGTATTTAGCCCTTACCCCCGCGAACTGGGTTTATTATCAGGTTTACCACCCTTTTCCTTGGTCCCGGACTCCTTTGGGTCCAAAATCCCCTTTTCTGGTCAGCTCCGGCAGAGGGAAATGTGGGGAGTAGCGAGACAGGCAGCGTGAGGGGCAGGACCAGGCAGGATTTCTGGAGCAGCCCCCAGATGCAGGAGCAGCCCTCCTATTTGGTCACTGTCCGGTAAACCAACCCCGGAATGGAACCAAGGGTCCCAGGTTCTCAGGACGCTTGGAAGCTTTCAAAACTGCGAGGAGGAGGAGGAGGAGGAGGGGGGGGGGGGGGGGGGGGCAGGGCAGCTCTTGAAACAAGGTCTTCCTACAGTTTAAGATCAGTAGTTTATTTATTCTGATAACTGATTAATTTATGCACTATTCTTATATGGCACTCTGGAATCAGAGAAATGGAAGTTTTAAGGAAACTTGTTACTGCCACATCTTAGAAGGGTCTGTGGAAGAGCCCTCTGGAGTTTTTATTGTTATTATTATTATTATTATTATTTTAATATTTTTTAGTTGTTGATGGACCTTTATTTTATTTATTTGTATGTGGTGCTGAGAATCGAACTCAGTGCCTCTTGCATGCTAGGCAAGCGCGTTACCACTGAGCCACAACCCCAGTCCCTGTTATTGTTATTATTATTATTATTTTGTTTAAACGGATTCAATTTAGTTCTGTTTTGGCGTCCTGAATTTCTGAGAGGTTTTTATTTTTGTTTTTTGAATGTTGTAAACTGAAGTTTCCAATTCTAGATTTCCCACTTTTCAGGGATAGGAAGTTTCCTGTGGCTACTCTTAACCCCCTTCTGGTTGTTCTTTAGAGTTGATGTTGAAATGTTAATGGTTCCTGACACCCTCCTCCCCAGCCCCCAGTGTGGGCACGTTTGGAAACGTTATTTTTCCTCTCTTGTTTGTCCCCCCCCCCCCCCCCCCCCCCCCCCCCCCCCCCCCCCC